ATATTAATTGTGTTGGTCCTAAGTACCCAAAATTAGTAGGCCGAAACAATACATTATTTTTTAGGTTTTCTGTGATATACTCATAACATATATATATAATGATAATTAATGCATTGTTTATTTAAAGCGTAGTTGTATAGATTATTTCTACTTTAAGCAATATTTTAAATTTTTTTAATGATTGCTTACTATTGTCATGTGAATGCGTATATCTGAGCTTCGGACTTAACAACGGCCATTGCCGTTTCCCTAGTATACGTTCAAAATCAAAAATATATGAGCTTTCAACATTTGAAGTTCAAGTTGATATTAAAATTTTAGCAATGGCTTGGAATACAGCACACTCTTTCAAAGAAGATAAATATTGTAATTTGGAAGGTTGCGTAGATTCATGTGAGGTAGATTATATTTATTTTGTGAATATGCTTATTATTTTGAGTGTTTCTTATTTAAATTAGGAAGTCAATGTCAATATTGTACTGATTATCTTGTAAGTAGAATTGAAAAAAATCGTAAAAATTATCAGAAAACTTTGACTTCGTTTGACAAAATGATTATAAATGAGAGTAAAAATGAATCAGATGATACTGAAACCACTGATAATACTAATATTGGTAGTGAAGATTTTTCTTTAGATAATAATATAGATCTACTTTTCAAAAATGCTATGAATACTTTAACAAATGTATAATTTGATGAAAATTTTCTGTTTTATATATAAAATGTAATTAAAAAAATAACATATTTAATATTTATATAAATGAAAATAAAAAAAAACCAATTTTATAAAATTTTCTTTATTAAATATTTTTTTTTATTTAACTAAATTATCATTTATTATATTCGAATGTCCTTTGATTAACAATTTTTCGATTTGATCATGTGACTTTATTAACCAATAGAATTTTAGCAATAACAAAAATTGATCGACAAAATTAGCCAATCATAATGAAAGCTCGCTATGCTTTATACACGTTACACATTTAGGTATAAATTAAACTTTTCTTATACTTTATACATACCTCCGCTTTTTTTTGTTCTGCGAGTAATAAAAGCTGTTAAATATACTTGTCTCTTACTTAAATATGGAGAATGAAAATGAGAACAATGCGGTTGGTGAGAACCACGAGAATACTTACGATGGTAAGATTGTTGTGCGTGATAGTTTTCCACCTTAAAAGGACGTACGAGAGTCTGACCAGAAGGCAGATTGAATTGTATGATTCTCTTCCTCATAATGCAAAAATTACATATTTGGAAGGGATTATCGAGGAAAGAAAAAAATCAATATGTTTATTTATAATCAATACTTCACTATAATTAATAAAAATATTAGTTTTTTCGTCAGATTTTCTTTCCCACGAAACCTTATAGGAGGTTGGATCAGAAATAATGGGCTGTATCATATATACATTCATCACTTGTCTCATCATATCAATCTATGGGTTGTATCTCAAAAGTGAGGAAATCATCAATAAAATATTTTATTGAACTATTAAATAGTATATACTACTTAGCTAAAGTTCTTTTGTTGGGAACAACTATGGAAAGGCTCAGTATTATTTATGACAATAAAGTTCGCGTTTATACATTAATTCCATTAATTGTGTATACGCCATTGGCAATACTCTTGGAAATTTTCATCATTTCTCCAACCATATCCATTACACTTGTGAATATTGGGATTGATATCGCAAAGCTTATTGTTAAATTTTATGCTTGAACCTCTTGCTGAAATAGGGAAAAAATGTACTGCTTTGCAAAAATAATATAACACAAAAAGGACGTGATTAATTGCATAAATTTTTTTTTATTTAGCTTGATACAGTACGATGCGGATCGAAAAATGTACTGCCTTTGCAAATAATATAACACAAAAAGGACGTGATTAATTGCATTAATTTTTTTTTAATTAGTTCGATGCGAACTGAAAATATACTGCTCTGCAAATAATATAACGTGATTAATTGCGTAAATTTTAGCTGATGAATCCATACCCAGATTTAATTGGTAATACAGTTGAAAAGATCCAAATAGTGCATTACGTTCTAATACTTATGACCAAAAAGGCGTATTTTTGCTTGTTCAGATAAATTAGGAAGGTGCTGTGTAAATAACCTAAGAAGTATATTATGATGACGAGTTTCTCAGTGTTGATAAAGTTTTTTTAAAGCATCTTCAACCTATAAGCAGTATCACAAATATTTGGTCGTAAAACTTTGTATTGGCCAGTAGAATCAAAATTATCGTTGGCAGTTATATGCAGAAGATATTTGATAAAATCAATACGGAAAGATTAGGAGGCTGTGCAACGTGTGAATTGTATATATATTTGCATTTATTTTTTCTCAACTTGATTTGCATTGTGTCATGTCTCCGGTTCATGATACTACTATATCAATAAAACAATATTCAGATATAGATATTTTTCAGCAATGATTGCACTAATCATAAAGTTTTTTTTATTGATTTGCAGGGGGTTAATGAATGACGAAATGCTTGCGACCCTATAAAATAAGCGAGAATTATTATCTTTTTTTTTTTCAGAAACATTACCATGGAAAATCAAGAGAACGTCAACCCGAGTTTTACTACAGATTATGGCTTAGGCGAGCCACTTTATGATGATGATATTGATGGTGGTGGAGAAAAAAGTACTGAAAGGATCCCGAAAGACCAAGCAACTTATTTGACAATATGAAAGGCATCATAAACACCTTTACCCAAAGTGGAGATATTTACGAAGTATAACCAAAAAATGCAATAAAGCCCTAAAATTACTCGCATTACATATATTGAAACACCTCCCAGAGGATATTCTTTGTGAAGAGCTGGATTTTTTGTTGATTAAATCTAATGAAGCTATCCCAGATTATGGGTCATGTATGGAATGTGATACTCCCATTTTAACAGAAGACCCACCTAGATTTTTCATGTTAAACATTTATGGTAATATGGTCCACTAGACTTGTGCGAGAGGAACTGATAAGAGAGGAATATTATATTGCTCATGTGATATGGAGGAAGATAGCAATCCATTTCTAAAGAATCTTGAATTTGATGATGATGATGATTTGTTTGAGAAAACTTGCAATAAGTATTCTGAAGTAATCTCTAAAGTGCCTTTATTAAGGCTTAATGCTTCTATTTTTACACTAGTTATACTGCTACCATGCAGATAGGGTTAGATTGGTCTGGTCTGGTTCAGTCTGGTCCAAAAAGACTGATCTTTCATCTTTCTTTGGATCAGACTAATCCATAAGTCAGTCTTTGAACCAAACTTAAGACCAGTTTTATACTATTCGGTCCCCTACCAGTCTGGTCTGGTCCAAGATTTATTTTCTCTCGAAATAAACTGATTTATAAGGCTGTTTCAAGGATCAGTTTAAAACATACTAGAAAAAATATACATATAAAATGATCAATTTAATAAAATAATTGTATAATTTAAATAAATAAAAAAGTATAATAAAATAATTGCATACAAAATGATTCCTGCGTCTTCTTAATCTTGTTATTTTTCTATTTCTAATATTTCTATTTTAGAAATTACCGTTATAGTAAAATATTAGGACAGATCTAAGGACTGACTTATAGATGAAAACTGGGTTGATCTAACTCTAATTTTGTAGTATTTAATAAATAAAATAATTTATTTAGTATTTATAAAATTTAAAATAATATGTTATAAATAATAAAGGACCAGTCTAGACCAGTCTTTAAAACATGAACCGAAAACTGCAAGGATTAGTCTCATTAACCAGTCTAAGACTGATCTTATCAGGACTGATCCATCCCTACATGTAAACATAAGGTTCATTTCAAATGCATTGGTAATAAGAGTAAGTTGTATCCCAAATGCCTGTCAATTGATAATCTTAAAAAAGAAGGATATTATATTTCACCTACTTTTAATAAAGCAACCAAGAAAAGAAAGAGAAAAAATGATTTGTGTAAATCTACTAAATGTATAAAAGCATAAATCATAATTCGTAAGCTGTCCATCCGCTCAGCTAGTAAAGTATTAATAGATACAGGAGGGTGAAATAAATATTGCATAATTTATTTATCGATTTTATTTTATATATAGTCACGAATATTTATAATAAATTTAAT